AAAACTTGGCCTATTAGAAGTATTAAGTAAAAAAAAAAAATCATTTTTCCTAGCCTTTGATGACCCAAGTAGTGCTACAGCTAGTTATATATTTACTATAATCTATTAAAACACCAATCCCAAAAACTCATAGTTATGACGCAGTACTGTAATCCCAGCATATCAATTCAAGGTCATTCTCAGCTCTATAGGGAGTTCTAAGCCAGCCTAGGCTAGCCAAGATTCTCTCTTTAAAAAAATCAACAACAACAAAAAACAAACCCCCAAATTAACCTGTCAAACAAAACTTCAGTTCCTTACTTGTACAGCAAGGATAAAACAAAAACCAAAAGACTAATGCATCGATTTTTGACATCATTTACTGTAGCTGATTGTTTCTATTGTTTCATTATCTTTTACCCTCTCCAAATCTTGATTATGTTAGAGTTTTTGTGAACTGTTGGTACATGAATCTACCACTATGATCTTGAGGAAACAGCATACAGCCTGGCGGTAAGGCCTCGCATGTGAAAGGCCCTGGGTTTGATCCCATGCACCACAAAAACAGAAAACTTATCCTGAACATTTTGAACATCACTGAAATACAATATAAATTAAGCCACTTTTTTTTTCTCTATGGTTCTCCACCAAAGTAACTCAACTACAGTACTATTTGAACTCAGACTTGACTATTGCAACTAGAAAACAATCATTTTGTTATTGTTAAAAGCAAAAAAATAAAAGTCATCTAAGATAGGCATTTGGAGGAGGAGAAGAGAAATAGCTTGTCCGCTTGTGGCAAGTTGACAAGAACACAAAGATCCACAAAGCTCAGCTGAAAAGCAAATGTGTTAGAATTCACAACTTTTCATCTTTAACAATGCATTTACTGTAGTAACACAGAACAGATACACTGAAAATGGACAAAAAAATCTAAAGGCACCTCATTGATTCTGTTAGGAGCTCTGTTTAAAAGACTAACACGAAACATTTTTGGTTTATCATTGTTTAAAACTTATTTTGCTGTTACTGCTTTATATTATAACCTAGGATCTCACACAAGTGCTTGGCTACTGAGCTATATCCCCTCAGCTCTTACTAATTTTCAACTCAATAAAGATGTATTGAATACCTGGAAAAGTACTCAATACTGGGAGTTAGAGATGCTCTAGTTATACTTTCTAGCTTTGAAGATTTCATAGTCCAAAAGAGAAGAAAAGCATGCAGGAGCGTTAAATACCAAGAATTATGACAAAAAAGAAAGTGATTTTGGGGACCACTCCTTGGTGTTATTCTACTTCTCAATGAAACCTTGCTTGCCCTTCAAAAATTATACCAAAAAGCCATATGTGCACATTATGGTGACACATGCTTATAATTGCTGGCACTCAGATGCTCAGATGCTCGAATCATGAGTTCAAGACCAGCCTACTTAGCAAGACTTTGTATAAGAAAAAGTTACAGTCGAGGCCAGCCTGTTCTCCAGAGTGAGTTCCAGGAAAGGCGCAAAGCTACACAGAGAAACCCTGTCTCGAAAAATCAAAAAAAAAAAAAAAAAAAAAGAAAGGAAAAAAGAAAAGAAAAGGTTACAGAAATATATATATAAAAAACAACCCAAGAACCTAAAATATTAATATAAAACAGAATATTGATGTTTACAATCTAGAATTCGGGGGCTGGAGAGATGGTTCAAGATGTAAGAATGTTTGCTGCACAAGCACAACGACTTGACTTTTTGCACCCCTAGAAGCTGAGTTAAAATTCATGGCCTCCAGCACTTGTAAACAGAGACTTGAAGATCACTGGGGCTTGCTGGGCAGCCAGCCTAGCTCCAGGTTCAGTGAGAGACCACGTCTCCAGGGAGTAGGGCAAAGAGTGATACGAACAGATCCTTGGTATCCTCCTCTGGCTTCCACACTGGCACTTCCACATTTCTCTTCCGGTACATACACCACACTCACACACGCCACAAACATTTAATACCTTAGAATTCCTTCTCTTCCTCCTCTCAACAAGTTTTTGGTGTAGTATTGATGAAACTCAAAAGATTTGTTCACCATTTGAGTAAACTGAAAAATAAAAACCAAACCAAACCAAATAACGGAGGGAAACAGATCCTCTGTGCCTTGTGCTGTTTTGTTGTTATTTCCTTTGCTTGGGAAAAAGTCTTGTCTGGAAGTTATTTTATTATTAATAATAATAGTATTTTGGGTTTTCTCCAGACAGGTTTTCTGTGTAGCTCTGGTTGTCATCGAACTGGCTGTAGACCAGGCTGGCCTCAAACTCATAGAGATGCACATGCCTCTGCCTCCTGAGTGCTGGGATTAAAGGCATGTGCCATCATGCCTGTATAAAAAAAAATTTAATCAACTCGATTATACATGAAATTCACTCAAAACTGTTTAAAACCTTTTCTTTTTTGAGGCAAGGTTTCTCTGTGTAGCCCTGGCTGTCCTGGAACTCACTCTGTAGACCAGGCTGGCTAAAAACATGTACCACCATAGCCCAACCTGTTTCAAACTTTCAATTTTTTTTTTTGAAACAAACTTTAAATAAGCTCTGAACTAGGTCTGGGGCCAAAGTCAGTAGCACAGCAAATGACTCCCTTTCATACCACGCAAACTTTAAAATAAGACATAAAAACTCTAAACTAGAAAAATATTGTTTCTTCTCTAGTAAAAGTCATAACCCTTTTATTTCAAATAAATACTTTATTTTTCATGTATATTTGGCATAGTTATCTTAATTTGAGTAGTTTTATTCAGCTTTTAGAATTTTAGTTCAACATTTCTGAGCCAGAATTCTGTTGGATTCACATGGTGTTTCTATAGGCAGGTGGTGTTGCTCATATCTTTAATCTCAGAAATTGGGAGGTAAGGGCAGGTGGATAGTTTTTTTTCCTTTCCTTTTTAGTTCAAACTATAATACTGATGGTTTTAAAACAACTGCTAGAGACGAAACATATGTAATGTTAATAGATATATTTATTTTAATTGAACCAAAAAATGTATTGAACAAAGTTTACTGAAATCACATAAATTTTGGTCATCGAGATGGCTCAGTGGGTAAAAGCCTGACAACCTAAGCTGTATTTCCTGAACCTATATGGTATAAGAGCACATCTGACTTCTACAGGTTGTCCCTGGGGTTCCACATGTGCACCCCCCACAATAAATAAATAAATAAATAAGTAAAATGTAACAAAATCACATACATTTTAAGACATGTGTTACTTATTGTAAGTGCTTTTAGTTAATTTGGTACCATACAGACAAAACACAAACACCAGTATGGCTATAAATATACATGTTGACACAATAGCACACAAGTTCCTATGTATATATAAATACAACAATAAAACTCAGGTATGTGGTGGTCTGAATGAGCCTATCCCAATAGGCTCATATGTTTGAATGCTTGGTCCCCAGTTAGTGGAGCTGTTTAGGAACCGTTAGGAGGTGAGGCCTTATTGCAGCAGGTATGGCATTGGTGGAGGAGGTGTGTCACTACGGGTAGGCTTCGAGGGTTTAAGCTCATGCCAGGCCCAGTGTCTAATCAAATTGTACTCAAACTACATAAAAATTCCCAAGAAATCACACCACCAAAAATATAGTATATAGAAATGTGAGAAAACAGAAACAAGCACAACTACTACCACCACCACCACCAAAGCAAAACAAACCTCACTAAACCAAATGAAAAAAATCTAATGCCCTTAAAATGCTATCTCAGCAAAATATTTAGTAGCTGCAAATTGGGCTGGTTACTACCCACATTTTTGTTTGGTAATATTTTGAGCCATCTGCTTAAAAATGTTTCATAACCTAGATAATTCCTTAGAGAAATAATAAAAAAAAATTGTCCCGAGTCCAAATAGGACACGAAGAGAAAGCTGTCTGTGTGAGAATAATTACCAATGGGAACTGCAAATTCAAGCATTATACAGATGATTTGAAAATATGTATTTCTCTCTCTCTTTTTGTTTGTTTGTTTGTTTGTTTGTTTTTCGAGACAGAGTTTCTCTGTGTAGCTTTGGAGCCTGTCCTGGAACTCACTGTGTAGCCCAGGCTGGCCTCGAACTCACAGAGATCCGCCTGCCTCAGCCTCCCAGTGCTGGGATTAAAGGCGTGTGCCACCACTCCTGGCATATTTCTCTTTTGAGCCAAAGGGAATTTACTGATTAATGATGGGTTTTAGTAAACACTTTAGTTGTGCACATACTAAATTTAGAATGAAGGAGATTTGTGATGGGTCTATTTACTTGGTTTTGGAAACAGGGCCTCATGAAGCCCAGGCTGACCTGGAAATCCTGATCCTTCTGCCTCAGCTTCCCAAGTGCTGGGATAATGGGGATGAACCACCACCTGATGTTTATTACAGTCTTAAATAAAAGTACGCGCTTTATTTTTATTTACTTATTTAGAGGCAGGATCTCACTATATATCCCATGCTGACTTGGAGTTCCCAACAATCCTTTTGCCTCTTATGAGCTATTATGCCAGGACTAAAAGAAAAGTGCACCTCAAAGATATGGTGAGGTTTGCCTGAGAAAAGCTGTTCTTTCCTAAATGCAAAAGGCATGCATGAACAAAGGGCAGTGGACGTTTATGGTATTACACGAAAATCTCAATCCTATCATGGAAAGATTGGTGGTACTCAAAACAATGCCTTCAGCACAACGTTTAGTTAGGTGTTCAGGTTTTTCTTTTTCTCAGTAGACCCCAATTCCACTTGGCAAGTTCCCACCCCCTTATGGGGGGGGTCCAACCTTTTGATAGAGCCTAAGGGTGTTATCATCTGCAAACGTGTAAACCATTTACAGCTCTGCAGGGAGGTAGCTGGTCCTCAGGACGTAGGCCAGACTCGTCCAGAACGCCGGCGGCAAGGAGGGAACACCCCGCCTACTTGACTTCCCCGGCCCACCCACCCGGAGCCACACCACCCACTGGCCCGATGGACTTCCGCCTCCCTCCGCCCTCCCTGTGGCGTCAGCGTGAACGGCCGACGTCACATCCGCTCACCAATTCGGACTCCGGAGCCCGCGCGATGAAGAGCGCATTTGTGACTGTGGGGACCACCAGCTTCGACGACCTCATTGCGTGTGTGGCCGCTGAAGACAGCCTTCGGGTGAGTGCGCCCGGGCGCCCCTGCCGTCTGAGCTCGGCTGTCCTTCCCCGGCCGCCATGGGCGGGAAGGACGCGTGGCAGCTGCTCGGTCCGTGAGGACCGCGGCGGCCTGCCCGCCTCTCCCCCGTCCCTTCGCCTTCCTTCGCCCTCAGTGCCCTCCCAGCCTCCCTCCGCAACTGCCATGCCCCTCCCAGCCTCTCTCTGCAACCGCCGTGCCTCCCTTTGCTGTCTCCTGTCTCCTCGCAGCCTCTCCGCAACCGCCATACCCCACCCCCTCCGCAGCCTCCCCTCTCGCCCTCCACCCGGTGCTCAGCACCTGTGCAATCTTCCTCACCCCCCCCCACCCCGTGCCCACCCCCTCCGCAGTCTCCCCTCGCCCTCCACCCGGTGCTCAGCACCTGTGCAGTCTTCCTCACCCCCCCCACCCCGTGCCCACCCCCTCCGCAGTCTCCCCTCGCCCCCCACCCCGTGCCCACCCCCTCCGCAATCTCCCCTCGCCCCCCACCCCGTGCCCACCCCCTCCGCAGTCTCCCCTCGCCCTCCACCCGGTGCTCAGCACCTGTGCAGTCTTCCTCACCCCCCCCACCCCGTGCCCACCCCCTCTGCAATCTCCCCTCGCCCCCCACCCCGTGCCCACCCCCTCCGCAATCTCCCCTCGCCCCCCACCCCGTGCCCACCCCCTCCGCAGTTTCCCCTCGCCCTCCACCCAGTGCTCAGCACCTGTGTGCAGTCTTCCTCACCCCCCCCACCCCGTGCCCACCCCCTCCGCAGTCTCCCCTCGCCCCCCACCCCGTGCCCACCCCCTCCGCAGTTTCCCCTCGCCCTCCACCCGGTGCTCAGCACCTGTGTGCAGTCTTCCTCACCCCCCCCCCACCCCGTGCCCACCCCCTCCGCAGTCTCCCCCTCGCCCCCCCTCCATCCCCCACCCCCTCCGCAGTCTCCCCTAGCCCCCCCCCTCCATCCCCCACCCCCATGCCTTCTCTCAGTCCCTCCTTCCCGGCCTTATCTCCTCCACTGTGCAGTCTCTACCAGCATGCCCGCATGGCTTGGGTCCCTCCCCGAAGCCCTATCTGGTCCCTGCCAACGCCTGGGGCCATGACCCCTCACCCCTTCCAAAGGCTTTTCCCTGGGCTCCTCTGTCCGCGGACGCCACGCCCCCACCCTTCAGTCTGGGAACAGGTTGCCCTGAGGCGCCTGGGGCAGCCACCCCTCTTAGGCGGGAGACGCTTTGGGGGTGGGGGTGGGGGATATGGTTTTCTCCGCGGCGTCTCAGTCCTTGATCCGCCCCCCCCCCCCCGCTGGGAATGGTTCCGTCTCAACAGCTCAGTCGGCGACCCCTCCCCCCGCAACGGGTTGCCCTGGCGCCTGGGACCCAGACCCCACCCGACTCCTTGTACAGGTGGAGTGGGTCTTGCCCTCGGGGTGGCGCCCTCAGCCTAGGGCCTCCCGTGGTGCCCCTACTGCTTTGCTGGGTCCCAGCTCAACTGGTGAGACAGAAACAGGCTCTTCCTTTGGTTCCCGCCTAGTTTTCGACTCCTCATACCAGGTATGTTTGTGTCTTCCGGCAGACAGTGAGGTTCCTTGGCGGGACCTGGCCCTTGGCGGGGTGGGTTGGGAAAGGGTTCTTTTTTGAAACAGGCAGGGGTCAGATAGCGCGCCCTTCATCTGAGCAGCGGCTTGGAGGTTGGCTCACTGATTTTCTTGAAGGACTTCATTTAAAAGGACCGCGTTTTCTTATTTCCTGTTTTAGATCCTCAAGAGTCTCGGTTACAACCGACTTGTCCTCCAAATTGGTAGAGGCACAGTGGTCCCTGAACCATTCAGTACTGAGTCATTCACTCTGGATGTTTACAGGTATAAGGATTCTTTGAAAGAAGACCTTCAGCAAGCAGACCTTGTCATCAGCCACGCAGGTAAAGTGTCTCCGGTTTCTGTCTTTGATTTTAAAAAAAAAATTGACACTTTAACCTTTTCAGACTGAATTTACAAGGACTACAGGTATAACTCAGGGTACATGCATGGCATGTGAAAAGCCCTGTGACCAGTTCTTACCACTACAAAAAATAAAGCCAGGCTCCATGTCTCATACCTGTAGTTCTAGCACTTGAGAGGGAGAGGTGGCGGCCAGCTTGGGCTACCTGAGACCTGTCTTAAAAATCTGTAAGTTGCTGGGCGGTGATGGCACACACCTTTAATCCCAGTGCTTGGGAGGCAGAGGCAGGCTGATCTCTGTGAGTTCAAGGCCAGCCTGGTCTACAGGACAGGCACCAAAACTACAGAGACACCCTGTCTCGAAAAACCAACAAAACAAAACAAAACTAAGTTAATTACACAGAATAAATTCATCGCAGCTCTGTTTTAATGTAATTATTTGACTTGAATATATCCATTGAGAATTTTAGTGGAGAGAAGGATATTTCTGGGCAAGAGAAGGATATGAAGTTATTTTAGCCCAGTTTCTATAAGAAACTAAACACAGGGGGAAAGATAATGTATGCAATTATCGTAACAAATTGTGAATTTGAAATTAGTATTTGGGTGTATATCTAAAGGACATTAAGCCTTTTCAGTGGTAGGAGTGGGGTTGTAGAAACTGCCATTTAAAGATTGTCTTTTTAGCATTTCTGTTGAATTTATGTAAAATAGATGCAATAAAATATTTTTATATAGCATATATGGTAAGAAAATTAAAATTTTAGATTTGTAAATTGTATATTCAGAAACATAAACTAATATATTTAGAAAATATATCTTATGTTTTAAATATTTTATATTCATATTTTTAGTAATTTGTAGCCTTGAGAGAATCAAACTAATGGAGTTCCTGAGATTTCTAGTACTTTTTTTTTTTTTAGATTTATTTATTATGTATACAGTGTTCTGTCTGCACATATCCCTGCAGGCCAGAAGAGGGCACCAGATCTCCTTACAGATGGTTGTGAGCCACCATGTGGTTGCTGGGAATTGAACTCAGGACCTTTGGAAGAACAAGCAGTGCTCTTAACCTCTGAGCTATCTCTCCAGCCCTGATTTCTAGTACTTTTATAAAAGCTGTTTTTGGGGAGCAGTGCAGTTTTGACTGCTATGGGTATTGTGGGGGACATGCTGGTTTTTTTCCCCCCGAAGACTAGTTTGAGGAGAGAAGATTCATTAGAAATAGTCATTATTGGCCATGTGGCGGTGGCGCAGGCCTTTAATTCCAGTACTTGGGAGGCAGAAGCAGGCAGGTCTCTGGGAGTTCAAGGCCAGCCTGGTCTACAGAGTGAGATCCAGGACAGGCACCAAAAGTACACGGAGAAACCTTGTTTCGAAAAATATTACTGCTGGGCAGTACTAATGCACTCCTTTAATCCCAGCACAGAGAGATCTCTTGAGTTTAAGACCAGCCTACACAGTGGGTTCTGGGCTAGCCAGGGCTACACAGAGAAATCCTGTCTCCAAAACCAGAAAAACAAGAAAAGGAATAGACATTACTAAAATGTATAGCATAATCTTTATTATATAGTATGTTTATGTGTATGGCATTAGTCTTACTTTGAATTCTTTCTGAATGTTGCTTAATCCTCCTAAACTTGTGAGCAAAGTTATTAACATCTGTCCCCATCTTGTAGGTGAGGTAACTGAGACACATGGATGTTCAGTAATTCATAGTTGTAGATACATAACAATTTGGCAATAGAATTTGTCTTCTTAATTACTGCCCTATCACATTTCAAAAAGGATTTATTTACTCTTAACAGTCCTAAATGCCATTTAAAATATTTGGAGATTAAAAATATTTTTTAGATTTACTTGCCTATGTGTATGGATGCGAGTGTGCCATGGCATGTATGTGACAGTTAGAAGGCAGCTTGTGGGAATTGGTTCTCTTTACCATGTGGTTTCCATGGTGGACATTCAGGTTGTCAGGCTTGGTGACAAGTATCTGCTAAGCCTCCCCAACCCTCTAGGGGATTTCAAATTGCAAAGTTGAAGTGATCATAATGTATATCTGCATATCCATGGTGATCTAGGCTTGGCTATTTTGGGCATGGCACTTTAGGGGTAAATACGGAAGAACTGTTTTCCTGTATTAGTGCCTGTCACTATTATAGGCTAGCCTTTAAAAATTAAAAAAAAAATTCGTGCGTTTATTTGTTCTCTTCCCTCACCCTCCTTTCCTGTGTGTGTGTGTGTGTGTGTGTGTGTGTGTGTGTGTCTGTCTGTCTGTCTGTCAGCCTGTGTCTCTTGTCTTCTACCTTGTGGGCTCTGGGGCCATCTTGAAAACTCTGAAATGTTTTTCTTAAACCACCTCTACTTTTTTTTATGCGTTTCTGATCTGTGCATGTGCATCTATGTGAGCATGTGTGTATGTGTGAGTGATGCATCTGTGTGTGTTGAGGCTAGAGGTAGACGATGGGTGTTTTTTAAGGATCTCACTATGTTGTCTTGGCTTGCCTAGAATTCAGTATGTAGACCAGGCTGGCTTTGAGCTCACAAGGACCTGTCAGCTTCTGCCTCCTGAGTGCTGGCATTAAAGGTATGCTTCACTGTGCTCCCACTATTTTTTAATATTTATTTTTTTAGTTTTGTACATCCTGGAGCTGGAGTTATAGGCAGGTATGAGTGACCCGGTCAAACTTAGGTCCTCTGCATGAAAGCAGTATATGCTCTTGAATTCTAAGCCATCTCTAAGCCTTCTACAATATTTTTTGAAACAGGGTCTCACTGAACCTGGAGTTCATCATTATTCAGTTAAGCTCACCTGACAGGTTAATGAACTCCAGGGATTTCCTGTCTCCCTCCTCCCCTAATTGGTGTTACAGACTGAACTCAGCTTTTAATGTGGGTGTCTTAATTCCTGCAGGGCATAAACCTGTCTTTTCTGTTTGTATTTGGATAGAAGTGAAGTTGTTCAGTGGTGTCAACTAGGGATTTGGTAATCTCAGGGCTCTGGAGGTTGAAACAGGACAATAATGATAATGAGTTCAAGGTCATTCTGAGCTTTGTAG